AAGAACTTTGAATCGTTAATCATCAATATTTAAATAGTCTGTTTCAGCATTTGCTCCAATCTGCAACCCAGTGCAGTGTCCATGGGGGAAAAAGGCTTTTAGTGGATATCTAGGATCGAACACCACGAATTGGGAAGTATGTACTGAAAATGTCATCCCATATATAGTATGGAATAAGTTGCAGTTGTTTTAAAAATGTCAATAAACTGTCTCTACCAGTTCAAAACTAACCATGCAGAGTCCAGTTGTGATTCCACCAGCAGACAAAGGTACACAAATCAGCTTTCAGCATTCAAAAACACTCGTTATATCAGTTTCGTTAAGGGTATGCAGTGTTTTAAATTCAGATCATTTCAAATTTGAAATTTCCCATTTTGAGTTGCAATCAGTTCCCCATTCAAAATGCTTTGATCGTTTGGATGTGTTTTGCGCCCAAAGCAACTCTGTTTCATTTTAGAAATGCCCTGTTTTCAGATGCAAGTGTTTCCAGCTTTGATATGGTTGGAAATAGTTTCTTTTGAAAGCAAAAGATGTGTTTTCAATTTGAAAATATTTGTACACCTGTAGATATTCCTCATCTATTTTTGACTGAGTTTTTAAAGTAATTATAACTATCATTTTATAGCTAGCAATTTACAATCTGGATGTTGACTTTAAAGGCAGCTACTGCCAGAAAAAAAATGGATAATACTTATTTGTTGATGCCAGGGAGATGTGAGGTTGGAATGCTAGATCCTTCTGTTTAATAATTCTGACAGATGAATGCCAGATTGAAAAGTATTTTATTCTTCCAGCTGGTAGTGGCTGCAAATGAAAGGGAACTTGTTCCCTTCTTGGGGCTTCTAAAACCAAAGAGAATTCAAATTATATACATTCCATTGTAGCTACTAGATGCCAAGTGGTTATAAGTCCGTTGTGTGAAATTGCCTTTTGTCTGCGCTCCCCCTTGTCTTTCTCACCTTATATGAGCCAGGGTGGCGCAGTGGTGAGAATCCCAGCAGTTCAGCAGTTCGATTCTCACCGGCTGAAGTTTGACTTAGCCTTCCATCCTTCTGAGGTTGGTAAAATGAAGACCCAGATTGGTGGAGGCAGCAGGCTGACTCTGTAAACCACTTAGAGAGGGCTGTAAAGCACTGTGAAGCAGTATATCAGTGCTATTGCTATGGCTATTAATCTGGCCAGGCTGATGCTATTGTTAGAAGTTAATGCATTTTTTTTCTTCTCGTAGGCCTACGATGCCACACACATTGTGAAAACCTATCAAGGCTCTCCTCTGGATATCCTAATAGACCAAGGCAAAGATGATCAGTTCCTTACAGCGGGACAGTTGCTACCCGATAATTTCATTGCTGCTTGCACAGAACAGAAAATCCCAGTAGTTTTTAGGTTGCAGCAGGTAATGCTCCAAAGCTGGGTTTTAGTTTGTTTGCATCTAGTGCTTAAATCTCACAAGTGACAAGTAAATAAAAAGTGATTATTGGATTAAACAAGTTTTTAAATCACTGCATATGTTTCTAGAAACGGAAAATCTAGGTGTTAAGAATTGTGCATGGATCATACAGATTTTCCCGTCTCACTAAATGTTGAGCTAAAGCATCTAGGAACGTTAGTGGTTAATCAGGCTTTTTCTGGGCTTTGCTCTACACTGACAAATTCTGGCTTGCCGATAATCAGCTGCATGCTTTGGTCTGCAGCCCATTCACTCCCAGTAACATGAATGTTAAAGAAGAAACTCTTTGTTCTGGTTGGCTGCTCCCAAACCAGTTGGAAATCATAAAAAAATGTTTGTACTTGGATTATGATTTCTGTGTCTTCAGTGCAGTACTACCAACTAAAGTAAAACCTTTTAGAAGGGAGGAACAAAGTAGGAGAAAAAGAATGACATGTTAGGAACTCAGCTAATTCATAGGAAATCTTTCAGAAGCCCAGTTACAGTGCAGTGTTGAAAGAAAAGCCACTGCCTGATTAGGTTTAGGATTGACACGGCTTTAAATAGTGGCTTTAAAGATTTGGAATGTAATTTTCTGGGTTTGCAATATCAGTGAATGAGAGACTCCTATGAGGTTAAATATTGTACACAGAGGAGAAAACTATGGGTGTGGAAGAGTTTTCAAATTCTGCAGTTGTTTACAGTTTCAAATGGGTCCTCCGCCTTTTCCCAAAGAATTTTGACTGTTTTGGAACCATTCCAAACTTGGAATGGCTGTTTCAATTTACAAGTATTTGGAACATTTCCAGAATGACTGGAACAGGATCAGCACACTCACAATAATGTTGAACAGGTGTTTCAGGTTTGAAACACTGTGCACCCAATTGGCCATAAATTAAGTTTTAAAAGAAATATTAAACATTTATACTACAATCCTATGCTTTCCGTTGAGGCTTGTGTACAGCTGGGTATGTATTATATGAGGTTAAAGCCTTAGATTCCTGTTCATTTGAGAAACTCATAAGGAGATGATTTCAGATCTTACCATGTGCTGGTGATTCAGCTCCCCTTAGTGGTAGAGAATATCTTCTGCCAGAGTGATAATTGTATATTATATGCATATGCTTTTGACATTGTTGCTTGGTTTTTGAAGCTATCTGGTCTTTTTCTCTCTTTAGGGCTACGATCACAGTTACTACTTTATTGCAACGTTCATTAATGACCATCTCAGACACCATGCCAAATACCTCAATGCTTGACTGAGTCTCGCTATGGGAACGTCTGAGAATGAAAAATCTTGAAGAGATCAGTGGAAATAAACAGCAACGATTCTGTCTGTGATTACTATTTCTACAAATTGCAATGAAGTCCTGATGATTCAAAATAAATATTTTTAACATGCTTTGTCTAATTTTGAATGCATTAGATCATCATTCTTTCAGATACACAAAGCAATAAAGGCTGCAACTGTAATATGGATGTATAAATTTACATACTTTCTTTCATGTTCATGTCCCCAGGCATACCTCATGGTTGTATCTTACTACAGAGGTCTCCAACCTTTCTGGGCTTGCAGCCCGGAGGGAAGGAGAGCAGTTTTCAAATTGGTGCACATGCAAAAGCGCGCACACGCACACAAACAGCCACGTGCACTAGTGCGGCACTAGCAGTCCCATTTGCACATGCGCTAGCGCCATCCGCATGCATGAACGGCTGTGCACCTCCCACGGCAGCTAGCAGCCCCGTTCGCACATGCGCAAATGGGCTACGCACACCTGCTCAGCGCTAGTGGCCCCTGTCGCACCCGCACACACGTGCAAATGGGGCCACAGGCGCTAGCATGAGTGGGGGAATGCGCGCCCACGCATGCGTGTACCGGCCAGCCCTTTCCATGGCCCGCTGGTGAAGAGCCCATGGCCCAGGATCGGGCTGCAGCCCATACGTTGGGGACCCCTATCTTGCTATATGTATTTTTGAATGGAAACATCTAAGTTGAAGAACATACATCTGAGAAAATGGAAACATCTTAAGTTTTTTTCCAGTAAAAGACCATTACTTTCATTTAGCTGTGCAGAGTTGGCAGGGAATATAATTAAGCACTTCTCCACAGCTGCAGAAGTTTTAGACCATAGTACAAAAGTCCAAATATCAAACCTTTTCAAGATTTATCATGGTACGTAAATGGTATTTACAGCATCATGTTTTTACTTGGTAGTCAAAAGAAGCTGAATGTCTATGGAGATTCTCAGTCATCCAGGTCATGGTTGTCCCAAAGATGCTTTTTCAGGAGGCAACTGGAGTTCCTTGTTTTTCTTTGAAGACGTTTCGCTTCTCATCCAAGAAGCTTCTTCAGCTCTGACTGGATGGTGGGGAATGGACACGGCCAAGAAGGCTCCACACACATTTGCACTACTCAGGTGACCCTGAGGACACAGGTAAACCTCCAAGTGACCTCAATGACTCTTTAAAAGAATGCAAATGACCAGCCTGTCTGCAAGAAATAGAAATCCTTCCATTCCCCACCATCCAGTCAGAGCTGAAGAAGCTTCTTGGATGAGAAGCGAAACATCTTCAAAGAAAAACAGGAAAGCCTCCTAAAAATGCACCTTTGGGACAAAAGAAGCTGAAGTGTTGCTAGGATTTTCACAAACAGCTCGGATTACAGTTGGGGTAGCGGTCAAGAGATCTTTTATAAAATCAAACTTAAACTTAGACCACAGGAAGTCTACACAATGTACATGTCTGCAAACAATACTTCTATAAGCCATGCAAAACCAAGATTTATGCAAATATATTCCAAAAGCCTCGAGCATCATTGGTAGCCTCTTGTATATTGACCAAAGTATTATCTATTGCTGCATACATTACATTCTAAGTGCACTGCTGCTTACATTCGTTGGTTTGTTTTAGTTTATTTAAATTTAAATTTCAATAGCACAAAAAACTACCAGCACAAATCATGAGTAAAATGGCTGTGATTATCTTGCCTCGTACATACAGGAAGCCGTGATTCTAGATGCCTGTCATTTAGTTTGTTCTAAAGCGGGAAAATCACACCATCAAGCAACGTATCCGTACATAGTATTTTGTTTTATTATAAGGCAGAATATACAGCAGTAAAATATACAGCAGTAAAAAGTAGCATTATACCTATCAGATACATACATACATCCCTTTAATCACATATACAATCTGCCATTGTAGATTGTGCTAAGAAAAGAAGGACCCCCAAATTCTGAATACTAATTTACATTAAAAGACTTAAAATAATATTAGTCTCCATTTTTTTTTAAGTTAAAAACTGGAAATGGTGCTAGGATTTTCACAACATTGCTTACAGAGGGGGGTAGCAATAGAGAGAATGCCCAGAGTCGCTCTAGGAGGGAGATGGGCACTTTCTAAATACGATATATAAATAACTGAACTTTGAATGTCACAAGACCCCCACCAGAGGTCTGCATAATGTACACATTTTCAAAAAAAAAAAAAAGTCACTTCCATACCCAAAGCAGTGCTTGCTTGCTTGCTTGGCTTTATTCAACAGATTATTTTCACTTCGCCTGAATCTCAAATCGACATTACCATCCATCAAGTGGGCACAGCTGACTTGACAAAGGCTGTGTAGCAGTCTGGTGAGCAGGCTGAAAATTGATAAGGAAGCCTTAATCCATAAACGTTTCTATAAATGAGGATAAAACGAAAGCCTTTTCCGTACAAGGGTCCCAGGCAGCAGTCGCAGCCTGTAAAGCTGAAGGGGGAAGAAAGTAGGTCAGTGTCACATAACTAGGGAGAGCAAATTGAAGCGGATCCTTTAAACTCACTACTGAAAGTTTATGGCAGATGGGAGATTTGAACTCAAAGCGTGCTGGCATTCCTACGTGTGTATCAAGTTTCCAAGGGCAACTAAGTCCAGAGCATATTGGAATAAACAACTCTAGACACCGTCCTGGTTAGGCTGTAGAACATCTCCAAACTTTCTTAACTAAGTACAGTTATTTACTTTTGTAAGGTTTATAATATTACAGTGCTTTATCCTCTTTAGCAGGGTATAATATTACCATTAATATTACCATGCTTTTTTACCCTCTACCCTCTTTAACGGGTGCCAGCTTTCTTTGCTTGGTGTTTCCACAAAGCAGGAAATTTTAGCAAATATGTGTTACATTCCTATCTTGCCATTTAGAAGTGAAAAAGTCACTAGGAATCAAACCGGAATAAGAAGGTATGGCACCTGTCATTTATGGTTAATACTGAAGCAGAACCTGTTTGGAATCAATTACTGCACAAATATTATGCTAAGAAAGTATGAACTCACAGATGAGCTAAGAATTTTAGGTGCCAAATTCATCCCCAAAACTGGGTTCAGCTTATCCATGGATGGGTTTATCTGTGTGAATATACGGTAATATTTTTTTAAGTACCCATATATAGTATGCTGTATATTTTTCTATATAAGCCCATCTGTGGATAACCTAACCCTTGAAATTTTATTCAAAATACCATGAAAACTGCAGATCAGCTTATCCATGGGCAGCACATTTTTGGTTAAAAAAATTGAAAGTCAGCTTATCTCTGGATGGGTTTATACTCAAATATATACAGTAAATATATGGAGATGAAACCTGCTCAAAAGAATTTTCTAAGTGTGACATACAAATCTGTAGCAGAAAGAGAAGAAATCTATCAAGGACTGTTAAAATATCCCTATGCCTTCACATTGGGTTTTAGAAGAAGGCATTGGCCTATGATTGGTACCCTGGTATAGGGTTTCCTGCCTGAGCAGGGGGTTGGACTAGATCACCTCCAAGGTCCCTTCCAACTTTATTATTATTATTATTGCTTATATTTTATGCCCAAGGAACTGCTGTGGATACACAGTTTGCAATGTCAGCATTGCACACTGAAGAGCAAAGCAGACGGCTTCCATTTTGTCTCTTATGAAATGAACCAGAAATGAAACATCTTGGGTAATCAAATATGAATGCATACAGACATCTGGTCCACAGACTACTTTATTAACTCCTACTAAGATTGTCTTACGAGCTAATGTGCACTATGAAACATACTGGATATTGTATTTTTAAAGTATGCAAAGATAAAATCTGGAAACGAGAAGTGAAAGTTATAATGACCCGAGATCAATATTCAAGTCGTGCCTTCTGATGATAAATAAAATCATGCAGTTTAATTTGATGCATTTTAATTTCAGTTACAGTGTCAAACTGGAACTGAGGAGTCTCAGAGTCATTTCTTTTGTTCATTGAAAAAATGTATTTTCTGATCTTATTTGGGAACAAGTCCAATTGGATTCAATAGATCTGACTTCTGACAGGTTCACATAACAAGCTTGTTCACATAACAATAGAATTTGACTGGCTGGTGTTAACACGTTGCATAAATCCAGCTATTTTTGTTTATGAATCTAGCCAATTCTGCTTTACGCAATAAACCGTGACTAAACTCGGACTAAATATGATGTGAGAGACCATTCACAGGAATGCAATCTGAGTGGCTTTGGGGTGGCAAGATAGGATATAAATAAAAATTGTTATGATTGGTGCTGTTAGTTAACTCAAGGTGGCTATGAAGAGAAAAAAATTGGTAGAGAAAACCATGTGTATAAAGCTGAGCTCCTTGGAGGAAAAGTGGAAATAAAAATGAATGACATGAAAACATGCCTGCATTCCAAACATACATAGTCATTAAGTCACTCCTATTTATGATTTTTTTTCATTAGACCAATTTAAGACATTCTTATTATACTGTGTTTGCTTTACCCATTTGCTAAACCCTTACATTACCTCAGCCTTATTCAATAAACCATGACTTAAATAGGCGTGTGTCCATAGTCCATGACTTTAGGTATTATAGTTTATTGAATTATATCAAATGGCTGTCAATGTGGCTGCACTCTCTTCAGAACCTGGTCCTTGCTCGTTTTGGCACAGACTGGTGGTTGCCTACAAGACTTTTTTTGGGGGGGCCTGTAATTATTGGTGCCCTAGCAGTGATGGCACCTTACTTACTTGCTTATGATATTGTGAATCTCCTCTGGTAAATGATGATATAATTTCCACAGCTGGTGCTTAACGAAGCACAGGGCAGCCATGTCCGTAAGTTGCTGAGGTTGCATCAGGAAAGTCTCATTCCAGAAACAGGCATGCAAGAAGTTGTTTTCCACCAGCAGGCGGCTCAACTGAAGTTTCAGAATCCCACAAGGCAAGGAGTAAAGCAGATTTCCTTCCAAGTTCAGGTAGATGAGGCTTCTGAGAATTTAGAAAACGACACTCCACTGTTTATACATTCATCACGTCTATTTGGGGCATAGTTCTCTTGGGTGCCCAGGTAAGGGAGAACAAAATTATCTTGGCATGGAATTTTTACAGGCAACTGGGAGCTGGCAGAGCCCTTCCTTTCAGACTACACCAAGGAGCAACTGTTGTTACCTCCACTACTAGATGGCTTCCCTCCATACAAAGATAGAAAGTTAAAACTCTCTGTATGACTTTTCTCCTCACATTGTCAAGACCAGGGGTAGGCAACCTTGGCTCTTTTATGACTCGTGGACTTCAACTCCCAGAATTCCTGAGCTAGCATGGCTGGCTCAGGAATCCTGGGAGTTGAAGTCCACGAGTCATAAAAGAGCCAAGGTTGCCTACCCCTAGTCAAGACGGTGCACAGGAGAAAGTAATCTCTGCCTTTTACCTCATTAAATCTATGAATTTCTCTGTCACCAGACACAGTTGAGAAGTGCTAGGAAAAGCTACTCACAACACTCAACGGGTACCATGACAGATGGATAGCTTCTTCCCCACACAGTGAAATGAAGGAAGATTGATTAATTGGTTATATGCCATCAAGCCATCATTAAGTCCTAGAGACCATAAAATTTCTCCATGATGACCTATTCCTAACTTTTCTTTCAGATGGAAGATCTTTCAGGTCTTCCATCAGTGAAAATGGAGAAGGTGGAAGTGAAAAGGGGAGAGACAAATCAGAGTATGTGTCAATCTAGAGATGTGTGATTCCTGTCCTACTGTTTGCCAACCCTTTTTGCATCCTTTAATTCAGTGTTTTTCAGACTTGGCAACTTTGAGACATATGGTTTTCAACTTCCAGAATTCCTCAGTCAGTGTGCTGGCCGGGGAATGCTGGGAGTTGAAATTCAGACATTTTAAAGTTATCAAGTCTGAAATACACTACTTTAATTCTTAAGTGAATTATGAGAGAGTTTAACAGAGTTTCTGTTAAAAATAGAACATTTTGTCAGATTAAAAAAAAGCCTCAGCGTCAGTGAATGCTTTTTCTTAATCTGCCAGAATGCTCTATTTTAACAGCAGCCTGTGCAAAAAGTAACATGGTCCCAGGGACACTATAGTCATAAATAGCTCAAAATAGTATCATTAAGCCTAAGAAGAGTCCTGTGTCCCTTTGGCACAGTATTAGTCTTTTCTGAGATGACATATAGTAGTGGTGGCAAACCTATGGCACACGTGCCAGAGGCGGCACTCGGAGCCCTCTCTGTGGGCACACATGCTGTTGCCCCAGCCTCGCCTCCCCCATGACCCCCTCCTCACCAGCAGCCACCCTGAAGGAGAGTCGCCCCGAGCGTGGCCCACACAGAGCAGAGCAGCCAAGGTCATGGCAGCCAGGCAGCGTGGACAAGACTCTGCCTCACGCCTCATCATGCACAGTTGATGCTGCGGGGCACGGGCAGAGAGTGTGGCCACCATTGGTGCTGCAGGGCTGCCTGGGTGATCTGCGGTGAACCCTGGAGGCGGTGAGTGGCCCTGTGGGCAGGCAGGGCAGGAAACAAGGTGGGGGTGCAGCATGGGCAGGGCAGGGGGTGGAGCGGGACCAGGGCCAGTTTTTGGGCACTCAGTCTCTAAAAGGTTCGCCATCACTGACATATAGGGAGAGAAAAGCTCCAGTTAGTAGGCTTCCCACATTTAAGGCAATTCAAGAAAAGCAATGGATCTTGCTTATAAAATGGGGAAAATACTTACATGTCATAGTTGCCAAATTACAGATCTCAGCTTGTCCAACCATCACCTATGCTGGTTGGGCCTGCTGGAAACTATCCCAGCAAAATCTGGAAAACGAGAAAAACCCTCCTCTTGTCAAAACAGGAAAATCAATACAGTACCTGAGATTTTGTATTTCATTAGGTATATATTCGAGTTCATTGTAGGAAATGTCAAGACTCTGAAGATTTGGCAGGATAAACAGCCTATAAAAACAGAAAGCTTTCCTGTCACTAGTAATCTTTGAAAAGCAGTTTAGCAGAGGAAAAATCTTGTCAATCCTGTAGCCCCTTAAACACAGTTTGGTTATTCTGATATTGAGCTTCCCTCTGCTATTCTTGTGTGAATAGATGCATTTATTGGGGCATGGTTTTTTTCTTTTCATTGTACAATTCGATGCCCAGAGTCGCTAAGTCACATGGTCTCTACACTGAATAAACATTTGTGGGCCACATCATGTCATCACCCAGGTCTTTTTTTTTGAAGCTATCACAAGGTTCCTAACTGTTTATAAAGCAAAAATGTACTATAGTCAGCTTGCCTCACCCAGCCTGTTGCTTTATTCTGGAATTCATTCCTGTTCTGGCCAAAGAATATTTGCAGCAAATAGAGATGGGATATAAGATCCATCTTTCCACCTCAGCATATTTTCTCTAAAGCCAAGAATTGAAAATCTTATCTTTCTAAGGATGTCTAAAATGCCTTTTTTAAAAAGTAAATTTACAACCTTTTTATTGATATATTGAAAACTAAGGAAATAACTTCTATTAGGGCTTAAGTTTTTAATGGAACTGAGGCTCTATGCTTCAGGTCTTTCTCCAATTGTACAAACATAATTTCCTTTTTCTGCCAGAACCCAATTCTGCCAGCTTCACTTCATCTGCATCCCATGAGATAGACAGGCTTAACTCGAAGCTGTGGTGATAAACCCTAGTCCAGTGATGATGAACCTTTCAGAGACCGAGTGCCCCAAAACTGGCCCACCCACCCCCAGCCTGCCCCTGCTCTGCCCCCCGCTCTGCCCCCTGCTCCGCCCTCCCACAGGGCTACTCACCACAGATCACCAGGCGGCCTTGCAGCGCCATGGCAGCCACGCCCTCTGCCCGCACCCCGCAGCATCATCTGCATGTGATGGGGTACGAGGGCAGAGTTTTGCCCCTGCTGCCTGGCTGCCATGTGCTTGGCTGCGCTGCTCCGCATGGGCCGCGCCTGGGGGAGACTCTCCTCCGGGCAGGCTGCTGGTGAGGAAGGGGTTGCAGGGGGAGGCGGGGCTGGGGCAACAGCACGCATGCCCACAGAGAGGGCTCCGAGTGCCACCTCTGGCACCCGTGTCATAGGTTCACCACCACTGCCCTAGTCAAAACAGCTAGGCTTTTTTAAAAAGTGACTGATGATATAATAACTTACAAGAAGCCTGTGCCTCCTTGGCCCCCCCTCCCCCCATGACTTGAAAGCTTCTCTTCCATACAACTCTATTAATTAAAATTACTACACACTCAGTTGGGAGAGAAGTCAGCAAGTTGAAGGACATCGTCAAGAATTTAAGATTCCTCATATCAGAGATCTCCCCTGGGATGGATTTGATGGGGTTATTTCGGAGCTTTAGCACTTGTAAATATTTAAGATGAAACACCTGTAAAAGATAAATTGTGTGTAATGGGTTAGAAACTGCCGCAAAGGAAGTATTTTTTTAAAAAATAAATGTTGGGAAGTCTGGTTTTGTCATTGATGGGAATTCTTGTTTTCATTTTACCTTCCAGCACTTGAATTTAAGACTATGATTACAGTACTTTTCTCTTCCTCCTGATGTTTTTTTCATAGATAGAGGCTTATTTCCAAGAAACTTCATCGCAAGGCAATGGTTAGGTGGGGGAACACTGTTCTTCAACTGAGTCAGATTTTACCTCTTCTTGATATTGTCATTAACTACAGGGACAGCTAGATGGCTGTGTTAAAGCTCTATTCAACAGGCCTTGAGCTGACAGAGAATTATGATAAGAAGGGCAGCAATTAGAGCTTTTCTTGCCATTTTAATGCAGCAAAGGATTGGTGGATTGCCCCTTCTTCTATTTGTCTATCTACAGGAGTTTGTCCACCATGACTATTTCCACTAACTTCTCATGGACTGGACTCAGTTACACCTGTACTGTAGGCCTCCAAAAATGCATCAGCTATGAAAGTCAGCTAGTTTCATGTCTTTCTCCCTTCCTTTCAATGATTGCATACATTTTGCTGATTCTGATATCTCTTTGGTCTATGGCCATCTTGCAGAGATAGATAGATAGATAGATAGATAGATAGATAGATAGATAGATAGATAGATAGATAGATAGATAGATAGATAGATAGATAGATAGATAGATAGATAGATAGATGATAGGTAGGTAGGTAGGTAGATAGATAGATAGATGATAGATAGATGATAGATAGATAGATAGATAGATAGATAGATAGATAGATAGATGATAGATAGATAGATAGATAGATAGATAGATAGATAGATAGATAGATAGATAGATAGATAGATAGATAGATAGATAGATAGATAGATAGATAGATAGATGACTTAAGGGTTGGGGCTGAACTGAAGGCTACATCATGAGCTCATGTTATAAAAAATGAGTTACCAGGTTATGTTTCTGCTGTTGTTGGACAAGAAGAGGATGACCCCGACAAATACTTTACTGTTTCCCACAGCATGGTGAGAAAAACCAGGGCTTTTTTCTCTCTCATAGAACACCCAGAACTGAGTTCCGGCACCTTTTTTGGATGGAACCTTGTAGGGTAGGCAAGGCGGGTTGTATGACGTGTGTGAGTTCCAGCACCTTTTTTTTTTTTTTTTTTTACAAAAAAAGCACTGAGAAAAACCATCTACTTTTCTGTGCAAAACCCTGAATGTAATACATCCCAGGAAATATATTTCTTAGTAATAATTAACCAGAACTATTTGAACTCTGGCTCCAATTACTCTCCCTTGTCAAACCAGGGCCAAGTTCATTCAGCAATTTGGCTAGTTCCACAGGCAATAGGATTAATTAATAAATGGGCTACCCTGTTATATGAACACAGACAAATCAGAAAATCAATCACTCTTATTTTTGTTTCCTTGAGCCTGCTGACTCAATTGATGGCAATAACCACATTGGTGGCCTAATGTCAGTGTTATTCACATACCGTATTTTTCCGTGTATAAGACGCTATTTTTTCCTGCAAACACCCTGTTGAAAAATCAGGTGCGTCTTATACAAATGCAGCGTCTTATACACGAAAAAATAATGGTAACCTCCACAGCCCAGGGCATGCCTGTGTGGGTTCTTTGCATGCCGCTGCCATGCCACCTGGTGCAGGAGGATATCGCTGGCCCGAGATGCCACCTGGCTGGGGAGAAAGCCAGCCTGAGATGCCGCCTGGTGCTGGAGGATCGCACTGCCCCAAGGATGCCGCCGGTCCCACTGAAGCCGCCTTCTATGACCTGTTTTTCACCGGTGCAGTTCAGGCTGAAGCTGCAAGAATACAGTGATTGATGGCCGAGGGGGTGGGTGGGACTAAGCCCTCAGAGCGCCATCTGATTGGAGGAAGTCGCCTCCCTTGTGTGAGGGCATGGCCACTTGTTTTACTGCCACTAAAGATGTGGTTTGTTTAATATTTAAAATGTTGGTTTCTGAATTTTTGTTTAGAAAATTGGGGGCCGTCTTATACAATATAAATTAAATTATAGACGGAAAAATACGGTAAATGAAGTTGGATACCACGTTTTAACATCAAAAGGACTGCATAGTGAAGAATGACATAACTGTTATTTTCCTTTCTTTTCCTAATAGAGCAAGGGTGTCAAACAGCCGGCCCGCAGGCTGGTTGCAGCATACGGAGACTGCGATCCAGCATTGCAAAAAAAGTCGTGATATGTCGCAACACGTCATGTGACGTGGCGAGTTTGACACCCGTGTAATAGAGGTTCATAAGGCAGATAGGAATATGGCAATAATCATGATGGGAGATTATGAGGCCAAGATTTAGCTGATAGGATATAATGGAAAGAGTGGGTTTTCAGAATGTTGTACATGATAAAATTACATGTCTTGGCAACAATGGAAAAGACAGAGCAGAAAAGGAATAAACTGAAAATAAAGCCAAGGCAAAGATTGTGAGCTACTCAACAGAGTAGGTGGCAAAGTTATTGACATATACCTTAACAGCAATCATGGAAAGAATTGACAGGTGATGAAAAGTTTGGATAGCACAGATAAGAAATCCTGAGCAAGGATAATTATGAGTCAAGGAAATATGTCATTTTTTTCTCAACCTGATCCCTTCCAGCTTTTCTGGATATTGCCCAAGGTTCCCCAATCAATGATGATGGTGACTGGATTGAAATCTGTCTTAGAGGCAATGGGGATAGAATGGAGCTGGCATTCAAATGTAAAGAATTGATTATTTAAAACACTGTTTTAGGGAGGATCAGCCCTTAATATGCTCCATAAAATTCACCATATGCTACAGATGGCAGGCATACAACTTTCTCTGAGCTGAGGGCCATGCTTAGACTACATTCCCCAAATTAAAGGATGGGATCAAAACTGTTTTGTTTCATTTACATTTAAAAGTAATTAAATATAGTTCTTCAGTCAAATTAAAATATAACAATGTTTGAAAGTATCTAGAGTTTGTTTATGCAGCTTTGGACTTCCGGTTCTGCACATACAGTTGAATGCCCTGGGCCTTTTGCCACCTCAAACAGTGAGGTGTCTTGGGCCAAAACTGGATCTAAAAAAAAGGAAGCCATTGGATACAGATTTCTGACAACAAAAAGAGGATATATGGAAAATATATGAAAAAAAAACCCTGTGAGAAGCACATATTGTTGGAAAGTTATGATATATGTGTGGAGTAGAAATATAGGTGTCCAGGAAGAACAGCTAAGTGTAGCTAAGGAAGACTATCAGGCAGTATATTTTGAAAAGCATACATGTGAGAATACTATGCAGAAGGAGAAAAGATTTGAACCCAGACAGTCCTAAAAGCATAGGCCGAAAAGACTGCATGATGAGCTTAAGTTGTTTGTCTCCTGTGCAATAAAGTTAGTGCTAGAAATTATTCTCTGGATTTTAATCTTTGGCACTTGGTCTGGAATCTGGATATGGTCTACCAGCTCCTTACTGGTAGATTCCTCTGCTTCTTTACTTTGTCACCCACATACTAGGAAAGCAAAGGCCTTTCTCTTTCCCTTGCATTGCTAGGCCTCTGAGGACATACAGTTTCTGTATGAGGAAACAATATGGAAGCACAACATTGAAAAGGACCTTAGAGGTTTTGTAGTTTGTCTTCCTGCTCAGGGCACAAGATGGCTTGCTCACAATGACCTTTCCTCAGCCACCCGACATAGCTGGAGGGCACCAGGTTGGGAAAGCTACACTTGTACATAGTTATGCCTTATCAGAGAGCTAAGAAGATGCAGCAGTAAAGACATTAGAGTGGAACTGGAAATACCCAAGTGCAAATCTTACATTACCACGGTGCACACTCACTCTGAAGTATATCATTGACAGCTCCATCTATCTCACAAAGTGAGAAAATAAAGTGAGGGGGAAATTCCATATATACCATTTATGCTCATAGAGGAAAGCTCACATAAAAAAAATATACAATGAAATAATTTTTCAACGTGTGGTTACGATCAATTCAAACCAAAGAATAGTAATTTCTAAACATCTAGCAAATCAGTGAGGAATATATCACAAGGGCTGTGGGTCTTTATGTAAGGTCACAGTTATGTTTATGGGTTATACAACAAAAGCTTATCTAATATACATTTTTGAAAAGCACATATTACACTCACCTCTGGTGGAAAGCAATCCAAATGATTATATGACAAGTTTAGGTACAACAAGAAATCAGACAAAGGCAAGAGGTCAGGAACCTGAGAGAGAAAATGTGCCTAAAAATTATCAAGCAAAAAAAAATAATCAAATTAATGTTTATTTTAAAAACGAATAGGGATTTGTCAGAGTTTAGACTTCAAGATTTGAACATATCCATATAAAGATGCATCAACAGAACCTGTTTCTTAAACTAGATGATGGAGTTTCAGGGAATTTGCTGGTTACCAGTCCCAATGAATTTTGAGTGTGTGTTTCTTTGAGTCAGTCTTGACTCCTAGTAACTACTTGGCAAGATTTTAGAAATGGTTTGCCATTGTTTTCTTCCTAGGGCTGAAAGAGAGTGACTGGCTCAAGGTCACTCTGCTCGTTTCTGTGTCTAAGGTGGGCCTGGAACTCACAGTGACCCGGTTTCTAATCTGGTACCTTAACCACTACATCAAACTTGCTTTGCACTAAAGCTAAATGTGTGGGAGATCTGGAATTATAATCACCTCCCACCCCCTTTTTTGTTTAATAGCCCCTTGATACTATAATACTCTAAACAATAAAATAGTTATCGGAGAAAAATTATTTCATCATTTCCTCTCACTCCTAAAATTAACGAACCAGACACTAACAATAATAGGACTGTGAGTAGCATGCATGTTTGAGAGAAAGAAAGGGATACAAATATAATATGCGAACTTATCTATTACTTATAAAAATATAAATTTTGCATTCCTCTCTCCTGCCATGTAATGATCGCCTGGTTTTTTGCAGACCAGATACCGTCCCCCTACTATTATGGTTTTATGCTATATATAAATCGGGCCCTATGATTTGTTCAATGAATTGTGATTTGAAGGGGGGGAAAAGAGGTTGCCTGCCACACACACCCCTTCATGTGACCGCACTGCAATATCCTGTGGTCCTGTGACTGCAATTTGCAACATTTTTTGACAGTTTCTGGTGATTTTTTTGTCACTTTCCAACAAAGAAATGCCCATTTGGGAGAATGGATTTACTTAATGACCATGTGTGCTTTTTAACACCAGTGTGATTTACTTAACAACCACAGTGACTTGCTTTATGACTATTGTAAAAATGGTTGTGAATTGACTGCAACAACTCTCAACCAAAATTGCAGGATCAATTGTGGTCATTAAGTGAGGACTACCTGTAAAATGTATATGTATTATAAGTCATCTCCCACAAAATCTGCCAGACGCTTGCTTGAGGCTTAGTCCTTTTCCTGAACTAGATGGACACTATTTTGGAACTGTAGAAGCCAGAGTAGGAAACCACAATAAACCTTGGTTTTAAATTCTGGTTTCCACAAATCCAAATCCCAGTTAGGGACTGGAAACTACACATTATATCTCAGCAAGCCTCCACATCTGGTTAACAAGCCAAGGATGACAAGAAGGAAGTAGATAATAGCACCCATGACTGTCAACTCTTTATAATAGATAGGTGATATTTTCCCCCATGCCCTCACTCGGATGAACACTTAATTTCCCCAGCTCTGTCTCATTTCTCATCTTTTCTCATCTTCTCATCTTTCCTACTATCTTCTCCTATTGGTTTCTTATGATTTATCAATTGTTTGTAATTTATGATTAATGATTATTATGATCTGTGACATTACTTGCTGTTTATATGCATACTGTGAACTTATGTGCTTATCACACTTAGCCAATAACTGTTCTATTCCATTCCATTCCATTCCATTCTATTCTATTCTATTCCATTCCATTCCATTCCACTCCACTCCATTCTATGATAGATAGATAGATAGATAGATAGATAGATAGATAGATAGATAGATAGACAGACAGACAGACAGACAGACAGACAGACAGACAGACAGACAGACAGATAGATAGATATCATCTTTACTGTGGCTTATTGTGTTTTGTAAATAAAGCCGTTGTGTTGTACATGATAGTGTTGAATTTTTAATGAGAGAATCCAAAGTTCAATCCTTGCTCATCTGTTAAGATCAGAGGGCAGTTCTGTGCAGCCTAACTTTCCGTGAAGATTTTTGAGGTGATAAATGGAAATTTCATCAGAAAACGTTACTTTGTGTCTTGTGAAAATGGGCAGAGAAAGGGTAATAGGATTATATTGTATAAAAATTAACATATGGCCTTACAAAATAGAGTATTTATTTATTAGCCATATGCAAAATCTTTTCTATGTTTCTTCTAAACCAGCAATTCTAAACCAGCAATTCTAGACATGACCTGGTGGTTTCTGGAAAAGAAAGTGATTATGATTCCAATTATTACCAAATCATAAAACTAGTATAGAAAATACATTTTCAAGAGAGTACACTTATCTGTTTGGGGACTATACCTTAAGACTGAGTGCAGTTTTTCTATGCATGATGCAGAACAGAACCGCCATTTCAGCCTTGTCTACCAATTCACTGTCCTTATCTATGGCACTTAACTCAGTCTGGTATCCAGCTCCAGAAACAAATGATTTAATAAAATGCATTTCTTCTTTTAATTCTGCAATAAACATAATAAAGGGTATTAGGCAATATACATATATATATATAAATATACAGGAAGTTTTTCAGACAGACCGGTCTGATTGATTACACCTTGACATTTTAACTGCTATACTGCAGTTTTACTTTTTACAATATCTTTTGCCTTGCAGCCCCCCAACTAGGGGCATTAAGCAGGCTCAAGTCGCAACTGCGAAACATTTAAATCCAAATTTCTTTTTCTGACAAAGAGTTAAAGAATTAAATTGGGAGACTAAGATGGCCAACTGAAGAGAGCAGAACGAGCTCGAAATGGCCATCTTAGTCTCCCAATTTAATTCTTTAACTCTGTCAGAAAAAGAAATTTGGATATATAAATATATATAAAACAGGCAAGGAGAGAATACAGATATTCCTTGACTTACGATCATTTGGATCGTTTGACATTATGATGGTGCTAAAAAAAAAAGTGACTTATGCCCAATCTTCATACTTACAATTCTTTCAGGGTCCCCATGGTCACGTAATCAAAATATGGGCGCTTGGCAGCTGGCAAGTGTATTTATACTGGTTGCAATATACTAGAGCCATGTGACGGCTGATTATGACCTTCCCAGCCTGTTTCTCACAAGCAAAGACCATGGAGGAAACTGGATTTGGTTAATGATGATGTGATTCACTTAACAGATGTGATGGTTTGCTTAATACGCAGGGCAAAAAGGTTTTAAAATCAGGCACGGCTCAGTTAACAACCACATCACTTAGTGATGGAATTTCTGGGCTCAATTGAGATCATAAGTTGGAGATTACCTGTATATAAACTAAGGTTAGTGTGGGCATTGGAGGTGATGTTTGAAATTCTTCCCTGTTCCCTTTTCAGGTTTTCAGTCCACACACGACTATTTATTTATTTATTTATTTATTTAAAACACTTATGTATGCACCCATCTTAAAACCAATTCTGGGCAGCTTATAATCCATAAAACAATAAATAACCTTTATAAAACAAAAACAAATGATAAAATTAAAAAAAACCAGAAGAAAACATGGGCATGAAACCCACAATTCTCATCTTGCTCTGACTTCCCCCTATCCCAGCACTTGGGGAAAGAGTCAGTTCTCTCCAAAAAAATGAAAGGGGAGGGGGCCTCTCTATCTCTGTGGGGAGGGTGTTTCTTAGGGTAGGGGCTGCAATGGAAAAGGTACACTACTGAGAACTCACAAGATGATAGTATTTAAGGGAGGGGCCCTGGAGCATGCCTATCCTATGTTCTTTGATGGGATGGGCAGATACCCTCAAAGAGAGGTGATCCCACAGATAATTTGGTCCTCTGCCATGTAGGGATAAGGCATAAAAAATGTAATGTGTTGCTCTCCCAAACTAATTTTTTCTGAAGTCATATTTGGAAGAAGCTAATAGGATGGGTTGTTCCAACTTTACCCTCCCATTGATATGACAGCTGTAGAAATGTACTTACTTTGAAAGAGTCATATGCTTTAAAACAAATACTTTGCACTCAAACGAGGCTTTTTCAAACTTGGAACATTTCCAGAATAGTTGAAATAATTTTGGAATGCTTTTAATCAAGTGGGAACAGATGTTTAGAAAATGAAACGATACATTTCAAACTCATAACATTTCAAAATCAAAACCTTTTTTTTTTGCATCCCAGTGATATAATTATTAGCTAACAGCACTGACAAGTTTCTCTTGTCAGAGGATTAACGTTTGATCGTAATTGGATATTTAGTAGGGTTTGTGATAGTCATCTCAATTTGAAAGCTGCTCAGTCTGACTTCAAAAGAAAAGAGGCCTCTCTAAAGAGAGCCAAAGATTAATTTTTCCAGAATTTTGCAAGCTGGTTGAGAGCAAAGTTGAGCAGCTCTACCTGGCATATTGATCAGCTGTTCTGCAGTTAGCAGCACCACACAGCAGTGGCAATGGAGCCAGCAGACTGATTTTTAAATGTTTATCCCACACCACTGTCTATAATGCTGGGAAAGATAGAAAGAAACAGAGGATGACCAGCAGCAAGGTGGATGAAGTCAGTTATGGTAGCAATGGATGCATTGCTGGAAGATCTGAAGGACCAGGTTAAGGACAAAGAACCCTGGAGAAAATCTATGTATTGGATTGCGAAGAGTTGACACTGACTGACTTGATGGCACACAATAAATCATCAGCTCTTGCAAAACATGAGCTTCTGATATTGTTGATGATGCACTCATGAAGCAACATCATCCTGGATTTGTAAACATTTTCTTGCTCACTGGACAAATTATTCGCCACTCCCTCCAGGTCATGTTTCAACCCAGAGAAGGCTTTACAGGCTTCTATAAGTTGATGGTTTTATAAATATACCCTCCCTTGCAACTGTCCCAGGTAACCATTCGCTGTGGCTTCACAAGGCTTGCTAATAGACCGCCATAGTGAATAGAAATTTTTTTAGGCCTTTGCATTTGTAAATGGCTTAATTTGTTAAAGGGACATCAAACTGTTTACTCAGGCAGGAAGAGTTTAGCAATATCCATGACAGGGAGTAGAGAATGAACTGTGTCCCTTTGCTTTCTTCAGAGAAACAGTGCAGGGGAAACAGAATGAAATGGGGACTTTGTATTGGATTTGGAAGGGGAGCAGATGGGAGAATGCATGCAGGGCTGTTCCCCCCCCCCCAAAAAAAAAAAGATGTGGCAATACAAACAACAGAAATGGGCCAGAAACAATCCTATTTATTCCCTCAACAGTGCTACACATACTTCTCTTTTGGGACATTTCTTTATCATACAAAATATAATGTATGATACGAAAGAGAAAAGGGTTGTAAACCGTTGTGAGACTAAGGGGACAGCTGTGCAAATTGTCCTGAATTCAGTGTATTATTAATTCAAAGAAGTGGTTTCCATCACGTGACAGGACCTTGGCGTGGTTCATTTACTTTTGGCATACTTGGTGAAAGTAGCTGTGGTGGTTTGCACATGATGTTTTATGATTTTGCAAGTTGTAAATCTCTAGGCAATTATGGCTCATTCAATAAGCCATGGCTACAATCAAGTAGTTGCGTAATGCAATGTATAAATCAGCCAATGTGCTTATGTTTAATGATATGAAAGAGAGGGTTTAATCATGGATCCATGGATTTGGCTGGTTAGTACACCCTTTCAAGTCACTACCGCCACAGACTATAAAAACAAATTATACCTTCATAGAGCATGCTCTGTTTTCTCATTCCCTTTTCCATATCCAGCATGATCTGTTCCTCATCCTGCACGATCTGTTCTTCATCCCACATACTCTTTTGAACTTTTTTGATCCTTTGACTTTTTTCTGAAAAATATCATCAGTCCAACTATGGTTGGTTCATTCATAAAGAAGAGAAATCCTTGCAGCCATTTATCTGCCTTTGAATGTGTATCTGCCATTCGCAGTACAATCCCAAGTAAGTGAGTATAAGGAATTTAAAAATAGGTTTGCTATCCAAGATGCATTCAGGGAATGTATTGCTGTGTGGTACCCTCCTATGTTTGGAATTGCTTGCTTCTAATGATCAAGAAAGAAAGAAATATTTTATACTGGCATCTGAGAGATTACTGTTATGCCTAATTAGTGTTTGCTGTAGTCAATTTAAACATGGTTTATTTATAACTCAACAGAAGTCATGCAGCCCAGGAAGGCTGGTATATATTTCATTTAATTAGTTCTTGAATGTATCATACTGTATTTTTACCATTTTAGGAACTAGTATATCCCATGTGTTTTACAAGTGAGGATTTACAACAAAATGCCATATTATGTTGGTGGCCTGTAATAGGAGTAAAGCAAGATTCCATATATACTGAACTGAGGAAAAAAAAGAATTTCTCCTAATGTCTTCAGCCTTTCACCCACCCACTTTGCACTATGACAGCTCAGCGTTCACATAAGAATATTCTTAGAATCCCAAAACCGAGTTCTATTCCCTTCCCACTCATAGAAATTCCTTGGTTGACTTTGAGCCAGTCATTCAACCAAGCCTACTTCATAGGGTTGCTTCTGAATGGATAAAATGAAGAGAGACCCCCTCCCCCTCCCCTCCCCCTCCCCTTTCTCCTCTAAAACAAACCCAAACTTGGGAAATGGAATCAGTACCTTGAGTTTCCAGTTTTCTATCAGACTTGCTCAGTTCTAAGTATATGGTGGCAACTTTCTCTGGACCTTTCATCTCTTTAGCAATCAGCTGTTTACTGAAGACTTCATAGTTACAATGAGAAATGAATGGCTTTTTAGGGACAGGTTTCTGGATTACAGAACGGAGAGGAGAGGTTACCATAGTCACACCGCTCACCACAAAATCTGGTGATAACTGAAATGGGTACTCTCTCGCTGTAGGAAGCTGTAACCGAATAGGGATACGACGGTTTTGCATTGGGAAACTAGGGGGACCAGTCAAATGGACAGGGATAACAAAGTTCCTGTTAACAGGGCCTGGAACCTGGACACCAACATCATCGTCTGGAAAGCACAAAGAAATGGGTTGGCTCTTTTCAGGCTGAGGAGGCTGGCTGTCGACATCTCCAAGCACTTTTTCGGGCTCTTTCTCTTTTTCACCAGCACCTGTTTTGTAGAAACAAATATGACAGATGACAAAAATAAAACAACGCAACATCAGAATTAGACACCTGTAAACTGAATGTATATTTGCTATGTATCTATAAACTTTATAACTAAAATAAAAATGTATTGTTTAGAGAAAGCTTATAATACAATTATTTATGAAATTCTATTTATGAAATTTATTTGCCACCCATCTCATATCCAATGATTTTCATTATGAAACTTAATAAATCTAATTAGCATTGCAATGTTTCACCCCAGTATTGGTGTGATAAGAGTGGTATACCATATATGGAAATAAAGCATGCATGAGAATAAATTGAGTGCTTAGTGAAAGATTCAACAGAGACAAGGATGTATGAAGTTCTCTTGGTCATTTAATTTATTCATGAATAAATGTATGATTGTCATGAAGTCAGAGATATATAGTTTGAGGATGTGAATATATGTATGTTTTTAGATAATGCTACCTTATTTACCAAGAACACAAAGACTTGCAGAGAATGTTAGAAAATATGATACAAAGAGCAGATGGATTCAAAAATTAATTATGAGAGACAAGACCATTGAGTTAAACATGAAAAATGATGACAACCTACAGATAAATGTCTATGGAGATTTTCAGTCATCCAGGTCATAGTTATCCCAAAGGTGCTTTTTCACGAGGCAACTGGACTTTCTTGTTTTTCTTTGAAGACATTTCACTTCTCATCCAAGAAGCTTCTTCAGCTCTGATTGGATGGTGGGGAATGGAAGGATTTATACTCCTTGCAGACAGGCTGGTCATTTGCATTCTTTTAGAGAGTCGTTGATGCCACCTGGAGGTTTATCTGTGTCCTCAAGGTCACCTAAGTGGTGCAAATGGGTGTGGATTCTTGGAACTGTTGAAAGGACTGTGTTGTAGACTGAAGGTAGATGATGTCGTATCCCTCCCCCTCTATTGGGAGAGGGCTGTTCAGTTTTGACATAGATGGCCTCTTTGATCCCTCTTTCAAACCAGCGGTCCTCTCTGTTCAAAATGTGGACTTGTGAAAAAGCATCTTTGGGACTACAGATATATGGTGAAAAAGTAGAGAAAGATGATCATATAACTCAGCAGAATGTTTACTAAAGAAGAGAGAATAAATGGATATATTAGAAAATCTGGAAATGCTAGTAAAAAAGGAGTAGATACTGTAGTATGTGATTAATTGCAAGGAAGGAGTTTTTGCTGAACAATGTGAAAATGGTGATGTGTACAAATGTAACCCACTTTATTATATGGAAGTCAGAGCAGGATTTGTCAAGAGAGACCTAAAAATAAGTTGAATGCAATGGGAACGGGGCACATAGGATGTGCATGTTGGTAAGATGCTGTACAACCAAGAATGAATATGGGATGAATTAAAAACAGAAGGACCAGTCCCAAAATATTATGTTTGTGATAGTATAATGAATGGGAATTGAATTCTAAGTCAAATACAGTATATGCCAAAAGGGAAAGACAAGAAAAAAAAAGTTGATGGCTGGGTGGTATTGATCAGATTTCAAGAAGAAAATTTACAGAATAGAATTCAGTATCTAAAGCAATGTATGGATCCAGCAGAAACAAGAATGATTTGTAAGCCTGGAAAGAAGTAGAGAGATTCAGAATGCTGTCAGTGAAAACTAGATTAAATTCTGTTTCTGTTTTTTTAACTTTCCCCCTTTAATTTCTTTGGCATATTAAGGCCTTTCTGCAAAAAACTGCTTACACTGAAAAAGAATGGAGTGTTGAGGAAAAGTTCTGACTATGCTCACTACAAACAAGATTTTCTTTTAAGGAAACCATGAGAAGTGGTAGGATTCATCCAGTTCGCACCACTTCGGCAGAACCAGTAGCTAATTTTTTGTTGCCCAGGCCCAGAACGGACTTCCGGAAGCAGCATCCACACAAAGAACCGGTTGTTCACATATTTGAATCCCACCACTGCCACTGAGTCATAAATCATCATCTACTTATCATAGCACAGGGTCAGCCACAGTCAACACTGTGTGCCCACACCTGAGTTATACATCAGCTTTTGGAAAAGCAATACAATAAAGAGTAATGCTATACGTAAGTAAACCTTGAACAAAACTACCTTACCTTTAGTGCATTTTTTCTTTGGAATATATGGTTCAGGTTCCATCTTTGGAGACAAAGGTCTCCGGAGCAACTGAAGCTGAGACATGGTTTTACGTTTGTTAAATCTGTAGTATGTCAAGAGATAAAATAGCGATAAAGAAAATTTTAAAATAAATCAAAACAACTAACAATCTGAAAGAAGATTAAAGGAAGCACCAAAGAGATAGAAAATTATAAACAAATAAAACTTCCAATTAAAAAAAATGTTAAACAAATTGCTTAGAAAAAAATCTTTCTCCTTGGTCCTTTATAAAAAAAAGATCAGACAACAAATATCAAGACTCCATTGCTGGAAATCAAAGTAATTACAACTTAATTTCCTTCTTCCCTTTCCCCTTCTCCCCTTCTCCCTCCCTCCCTCCCTCCTTCCTTCCTTCCTTCCTTCCTTCCTTGAGGCAAATAGTATACGTGCATGTGAAGGAATCCTCCAGTAACTTCATTCCTCTTGTTTTGAACCTCTGTATGTATTTCCCAGTTATAATTGTCCAACCCATTTGATCTACTTCTCTAGGCCTGCTACAGCAATAAACCAAGAGCATGCAGCAGAAATACCACAAGCTCCCTAAAATCACCCAAGTATACAAATCATAAAATAAATAATCATAAAATAAATCATTGAAATAAATAAATGAAATGACTATTTTAAAAGGCAGCTGAGAATGTGTTTACTGTATTTTTTGAAGAAGGTCTTGAAACAGTTAGGCTTCTCGTTGCATGGACAGGTTCCACTAGGCAGCCCTGAAATAACTCAGTGGGAAGCTGTCAGATCTTTCAGAAGATGGGGAGGCACCCATGTTTCCATTGCTGAATTTCTGTCTTTGGGGAAAGAGAAAGAGAAAGAGAGAGAGAGAGAGATTTTCAAGTTCGGTTTGTCTGATCTGGACACCCTCCCCAACCATTGCTTACATAGGTTCTGCTCTGTATTCACTCAGGACATATAATGATGATGATGATGATGATGATGATGATGATGTTGGAAGGGACCTTGGAGGTCATCTAGTCCAACCCCCTGCTCAGGCAGGAAACCCTATTCCATTTTGGACAAATGGCTGTCCAGTCTCTTCTTAAAAACTTCCAGTGTTGCATCCATCCATTTGTATCCATTCTTTTTCCACATTTCAGCTCTGACAAACTTGGACAAAAATAACTCTTGGTTTTCTCTACTTAAAAGCATGGGGCCCAGACATACTCTTTTTTGTACTTGCAAATCAGTTTTTAATTCTTGGCAACTGCCTGGACAAGTCTTTGCAGTTTTCTCAGCAAGACTTTTCAGAAGCCATTGCCGTTACCTTCTTCCTAGGGCTAGGAGAGAATAACTGGCTTTGTGCCTAAGGCAGGACTAGAACTCATGACCTTTCCAGTCTTTATTTATTTGATAGTTATCCTGCTACAGACTGTTCATGCCTTACAAATATTATAAAAACTTCATATTTATTTTCCTTATTTATTCTTTGACACAAATATTTATAGCGTTTATTTCAATTCTAATCCTTGAAATATCTAAAACATTTCTTTGAACTTTTCCTCACTTTGCCTTCATTCCAAATACATTACTTTTACTTTTTTTTATTCTTCCCAGAGTTCCTGGTTTAACCCTTTTGCTGCTTTGGAAAGAAATTAATAACTCCTAGAGCTACTATGTTCTACAGGAAAAAAAAAGCACTAGCAAGTCTTATTCTAGAAAGATTACCTACATTTTATATACAGTAATTTGGTCCAAGTTCTAATTGTCAGGGATTTGCAACTACAGGTATTGCTACAGTTGTCTCCATTAACTGAAGACCATTAGATTTTATAAAAGGTTTAAGTTAGTGATGGTGAATTTATGATACTTGTCTCAAAGGTGACATGCCACAATATTTTGGGTGGCAAAGTAGTGTTTACCAATACCGAACAACAACTGTTCTAGACACCATGCCCTATTCTCATACAATTTTTGGATGCTGCAGAGACTGCACTTGAATACGGTGTGCTCTTGCAGAGCCGCTGGGCTTCACACAAGAATGGGGCATGCTATTACACAGTTTTCAGAAGATGTGGAAGAGCATTTCCAAAACTGTTTTAAGAACAAGGGCCTTGTGCAATCTGGAGCAGCTTCGAGTAGGCTACAGGGGCTTGTCAACAGAGAAAACACTGTCCGAAGGTAAGCGACACATGGCAGATCCTGGGAAACATTGGACTTTGAGGGCAATCGTGCCGTTCCTCAAGGCTTGCACACTTTGGGGGAAATGGCCTGAGGCAGCCTTTTTGAGTAGCAGTGGTGACACTAGGACTGAAGCTGAAGATAACCAAGGTTTCTACTTCAGGCCCAGCCTCGGCACTGGCACTGTGTGCTACTGTTCACAGGGTGGCCTAGATGGGAGAAGAGAGAAAATTGTTCCTATTTTGTTCAGGTGTGGAAGTGTAACACACCAGCAGAGTCAAATTCGGCAATTTCCAAATTTTTGACATGCCGAGGCCAAAAGCTTTGCCATCACTGGCTTAAGTGCAGGAAAGTGATCAGAACAGATCAGATCAGAAAGGCAGAACAGGAATTTAGCCTCTGAATGGGCAGGGAATCTCCAAGTGCCAAAGGGCAGGCTGATGGTTTGGCCCCTTCAAAGTAATATAGATTACTATCAAAAAAGAGCAGGGAGAAGTTTTTTACCTAAAATTATGTAGCCGTTAACAACTGTATGTACATGCAAATAGGCACATCCATCAGTAAGTTTCATATAGATCCTGAAAGTTGATTCAGATCTATGTCATGTTTTATATTAGTATTCCTCTCAGCCTTGAAATCTCCTGCCCCAGAAGATGATTAAACAAAACTTCCTGGAGACACAATTTTATCCCATTTCTGTAGAAGAAACCCTAAGATGTAACTCTCAAACTGTGAATATAAATTCCTCTTGTCATCTGCCAGCTGTCTATTCAGAATGCCTATAAAGATCAGAAGCACCTGTTAAAAAGGATCAAAATATTTATTTCAGCTGTATTCAGGTTGCATCTAAACAGTTTTCTTTCGTCAGGTGGTGGATCACAGAGACACAAAAGCCTTTTGCAATGCTGACGTCCGAAATTAGTTGTGGAAAAGAAAGTGTTTTTCAGTCCCATGTGATCTAACCCTTTTAGCTCTTCTCAAGAAATGGAGGAAATAATGGTGTGCCATGTTGTCTAGTGAATTCTTACCTTCCAATTGTACGCTGGGAGCCATGCTCTGCTGCACTTAAACACCGGCAAGGTGTACCTAACATTCTGGGAGACAAAGGAACAATATGACGGAAGGATCTTTGTGATTGGCTAAGGGAATAAATGACCATTCCATTCTACAAAGAATCAGAAGGGAAGTATCCATATAATCGGTAAAAGGGAACAGATTCACACACTGTAGATCTCTTGCAGCCCAGAAATTGAGGGTTGTGGGCCATCCAAGCACTTAAGAGAAGGTGTCTATGGAGATTCTCAATCATCCAAGCCATGGTGGTCCTATAGATGCTTTTTCAAAAGGCAATTGAACTTTATTTGTTTTTTTCTTTGAAGATGTTTTCCTTCTCATCCACGAAGCTTCTTCAGTTCTGACTGAATGGTGGGGAATCTTACTGAATTCCCCACCATCATGAAGTAGCTTCTTGGATGAGAAGCGAAACGTCTTCAAAAAACAACAACAAAGAAAATCCAGTTGCCTTTTGAAAAAGCACCTTTGGATTAAGAGGAAGTGTATAAACTATTGTATAAATAGAAAGATGAGATAAATGTGGGATGCCAGCTGCTCTTTAAAGCTATTCAGTAGTTAATCTAGGACATGTAGTGGGTGAGGCTATAAATGTGGAACATCCCTACAACTCTGGAGTTGTCCCCAAATCTGCTCCATTAGTGATAATGATATGGATTCAAGAACTGTAATTTATAAGCTGTTTGTTTATGGCTCTGCCTGTTGGGAAAACCTAGCTAAATGGGTTTTTTTCCCTCATAAACCGTGGTTAAAGAAACTATGACCTATGATTTGTGAATGCAGTTTATAAGTGAAGGGGCTCTTCCACATAATCTGCTAGCTAGCAATGGTTTAACAATTCCATTGAAGTGCCTTCAATGGACAATGTCACCCTCAGCTTATCCTTTTGTGGTGTAGAGGCAGCTACAATCCTGCTTTTCTACTCTGCTTCAAAACTGGTGTTTTCCAACTTACGCCAGTACGAAACCAGGCTTGTGGTTTCCGCAGTTTAATTTGATCTTAGCCCATTTTACATTCCTCTTGGTTGCTGTATGGAGCTGCTGGCATGCCTCCCTTTCCTCTGGTCACTGGTTGCTGCCCTGCGTGGCCATTTTGGAGATGTTATGTCTCTAAGAAAAAGAACATGGACATATAAATTCTGCACTCCTCTGTCCTCTATGAGGTAGGTCCCAGATATATTATATGGATTATTTATATATTTCCAATAAATTTGCTCAGTTTGCTATCCATTTGTGCAGCTGGTGTGTCAAACAGACAATATGGTCAAAAGCTTTACTTCTTTTCTATCAGTGAACTTAAAATAAAGCAGGTTTACTGGCGGACCAATGAATAGTAGATGTTCTCCTTCTTCTCCCCACTCTTCTTTTGTGACTGGCTCTGTCAATTATCCCTTTAGCCCAAATAACTGGAAGAAAGGTAAAACTATGGTTCTTCTTCTCACCTACCAGTGAACGCACTTCATGGAAAGCTGTTAGGTAGGAACGGTCATCAACAGAGGGGCGTCATATAAAACGTCTACCCATGAAAAAATCAGTGGACCTTCCAGGATTGGAACTGGCTTACCCAGCATTTCAGTAAACACACATGTTGTAGCCTTCTGATTTAGATCAGATTCTTACAACATACTAAGCCATGAAACCCGACTGACCATATTTACATAAATAATGACCTTAAGCAAAAGATACCCATAATGTACTAGATCTTAGTAAATGTGGTGAAAAATGTTTTTTGTCTTTTTTTTAAATTTGAGAATCAAAACAGGTGTGCATTTGATATAGCCTAGTTCAGTGATGGCAAACCTTTTAGAGACTGAGTGCCCAAACTGCAACCCA